AAACGTCAACTCATTTTGTTTCAGCTAGTTGCCAGGGCAGCATTTTCAAAATGCTAAAAATTTAACTAATTCATTTAAAGTAAAAATTGAAAATATATATAAATAAAATATTATACTTAATAATACTTATTTATATACTTAAAATATTTTATATAATACAGTATTTATATTAATACAATAATACTAATAATAATGGTGATTATATTATATTATATTATTAATAACATGGTGAGGGGGTGGGGGGAAAGACCAGCATTAAATGCCGTCGTATGGAAAGTCATATGGGTTTAGAATAACACGAGAGTGAGTAAATAATTACAGAATTATTCCTATAGTGTGTGTTATGCTATGGGAGCTCCCATTATAGCATCTCAGTATGGTGCTGGTGGTCTGTAGCTCACCATAATAATGAATTTCCTCAACATTTCCCAGGACTGGCACAAATCCTTTCTATGCCCTCCCTGTGTGAATGTTTCTATAAGAGCTTAACACCCAGCTCTTTCTAGACAGGAAACCTGGGTCACAGACTGCGTCCAGAAAGTCCTCCAGTCAGGCAAACATCTCAAAGTCTGTCCCAATGAGCACAACACACATCACATCTTACACATACAGACGCACATTAATCCAAAGACATCCAGATGTAGACGACTTCAGCAGGTCTTTTGCGTGCTAGCCCAGTCTTTTCATTCAGACTCTACCCAAGACAGTATGTTGAAAGAAACACCTGTGGCCGCAGCAGACGTGCTGACTCTCAATGTTGATTTTTTTTCGGGGTTTTCCGAGAGCCTGCTGTGCAACTCATCATGGTCAAACCATCCGACAGCATGTGCTACGATAAGAATCTGCACGAACACATGACACCACAATCCCAGATGAGTTTTGCTTTACACTTCAAGATATCTGTAGAGCCTGATATCTTTCACACACTAACTCTGCAACGTAGTGAGCAATTTGATGTCCATGCTAAAAACAGTGCAGTAAACCAGGTCTGTTTTGCGGGATTTAGAGGGGTTTTAGAGACTGGGAGACCAGCTAGACCAATTTAAACCACCTTAGGCTGGTTTGCAACTTCCCCTACTACCAAAGTAACATCCTTACTGAAGTGATAATGAACACAAACAATACAGTAAGCAAAGCATACAATTAAGAAAAATCCACAAATACTGTGTAAAATAGTTTATTTATAATAAAAGTATATTATAATAAAAGTATTAAATATAAACATAAACGATAGAATGGTAGAATACAAGGAGACAAATCTAAGCAATTGTCATATTAATAAAATGTATAAATATAACTTATTTATATTTGTATTTTATATATCAATTTAAATATTTATTAATATTATTTTATATACTGTACTAATTTAATTGTGTATGTAAAATAATACAATTTAACACAAAAAGTATGGTAAAATTTAAATAAACAGTATAAAATAGATGTAAAAGTATTAAATATTTCACATAAATGTGAAAATGATAAAAACAATAAAAACAAGCTAAAAATTGGTGTGAAATGATTGCACACACATATGAAATGAGGTGTATGTGTGAAAGAAAAAAAATTAAATGTGTATCATATAAAATGTTTTTGTGTGTGTTTATGTATGTATTTTTTCATCATGCATTAAGCTCTGTGCAGTGCATTCTGGGATTTATTTTACTGTGATGGATACTTGCAGTGATGCCTTTAATTTTTCTCTCTTTTTTTAGCTCATTAGGTTTTGGAACAGAGCTGCTGTTTCACTTGCAAAAGCATTCATAGATACACACACATACACGTACATGTAATAATTATTGTTTTCTCTGAGTGTTAAAGGTCACCTAAGTGCCTAGCTGAACATGTCCTCTTTTATTTTTTGAAAGGGGCAACTGTGCTTGGTAAGTGAGAAACATCATGGATCATGTGACTATGTTCTGTTTTAGACCGCCATGCATCTCCAGATGCCCCAGACCAGAGGAAGAACTAGTCGTGCAGCTGAACCTGAAACAGTGTTTGATGAGACAGGACTGCAGGTGGGACATGGATCTGGACGTCTGCAGTGAGCCTGTTGGTTCTCCTTGCGTCTAAAGATGCATAACCTGCATGCTCTTCGTTCCTCTGTGTCTTTCTTGCTCCACCTCATCTGTAGCTGATGTCTGGATGTTTTTTGTTAACTCTTTGTCTTGTCTTTCTAACATGTTTTCTTTAAAAGCTTTGTTCTGTGTCTCGCATCTTGTTTTTTGTGCGTTAAAGTCTTCACTTTCTTTTAGTTTTAATGTCTTCATGGTTAACCTCTGTTGGCTGATCTATTTTTAAGTTCTGTTCTTCTGTAATGTCTTAGCTTGTTGAATGTTTCTCTCTTTGTAGTTCAACCTGCAAAACTACCTTCTGAGCTTAGTTAATTGTTAATTTGCAAGATTTTGCAATGGAACATTACATACTCTGAAAAATTGTTTTTTTTCTGGTACTATTGCAGTTTCTTTATAAATAACTAACTTGCAATACGTAACTGTCTTGGTTTTATTTTGATCACCCACCTCAACGTTCATGCCCTCAAAGGAGTGAATGCTAAACTTTCAGGCAGTTGATCCTGAGCAAACACAAGTCAGCTCTACCAAACACAAAGAAGCAGAGGAAATAATAGACCTACACAGCTAAACATTACTCAAATACTTCAGCCGTCCTACATTTCACATCACCGGAAGAAGCGCTTAACCTTCTCATGACCTCAGCGCCTTCCAAGTACAATAATGTAGGTTTAAGCATCAGAGTAAAGACTTAAGTCTTACACTACACTTTTGTTGACTAAACGATCTAACCGCACTACCACTGCAGAAATGGGCCTTTTTTAAGTTAAAATGTGAGAATATGGTTTATTAGCATCATTTAAACCCAGTTTAAGTGTGTTTTATTGTTAGATTTCAGCTCATTGGGCACCAATTCTAAAACGTATTACTAGTTCAAATTACAATATAGATTTATTTACTTTTTATTTATTTATTTTTTAATATATTTACATTTACATTTATTAATTTAGCAGATGCTTTTATCCAAAGCAACTTACAATTGAGGAATACAACAAGAGATTCATCATAAAGAGGCAAATAAACACAGGAAGTGCTCGTAATACAACGTTTCAGGTATTGTTCAGATTAGTACAAGCTAGACGGGGGGATTAAGAAAAGAAAGCAGTTTTGTTGTTGTTTTTTTTATTAATTTTTAGGATGACGTCGAATGGTGATGATGGAGATGAGTTTTCAGCTGTCGCTTGAAAATTGTCAGGGATTCAGCATTCCAGATGGTGATGAGAAGACCATTCCCCCAGCCAGGAACTTGTTTTTTTAAGGATTTTGTGCCTCTCTGTGATGGTACCACGAGGTGTTGCTCACTTATAGATCTCAGACTTCTGGAGGTGATGTAGATTCTTAAGAGTGAGTGGGAGTAGTGCTGTGCCTGTGGCTGTTCTATATGCAAGCATCAATGTCTTGAACTTGATGCGAGCTGTAACCAGTAGCCAGTGCGGGGAGGTGAAGAGGGGTGTGATGTGGGCCCTTTTGGGCTCGTTGAAGACCAGTCGTGCCGCTGCATTCAGAATCATTTGTAGAGGTTTGTGTATGATGGAAGTTCAGCCACGCTTGAAAATTGTCAGGGATTCAGCATTCCAGATGGTGATGAGAAGACCATTCCCCCAGCCAGGAACTTGTTTTTTTAAGGATTTTGTGCCTCTCTGTGATGGTACCACGAGGTGTTGCTCACTTATAGATCTCAGACTTCTGGAGGTGATGTAGATTCTTAAGAGTGAGTGGGAGTAGTGCTGTGCCTGTGGCTGTTCTATATGCAAGCATCAATGTCTTGAACTTGATGCGAGCTGTAACCAGTAGCCAGTGCGGGGAGGTGAAGAGGGGTGTGATGTGGGCCCTTTTGGGCTCGTTGAAGACCAGTCGTGCCGCTGCATTCAGAATCATTTGTAGAGGTTTGTGTATGATGGAAGTTCAGCCAAAAGAGCATTGCAGTAGTCCAGCATAGAAATGACAAGGGCCTGAACAAGAAGTTGTGCAGCATTCTCCGCTAGGAAGGACCTGATCTTTCTGATGTTGTACAATGCAAACCTGCAAGATGGAGCAATGTTTTTGCAATGTGGTCTTTGAAAGTCAGCTGGTCATCAAAGATTACACCAAGATTTCTGACCGAACATGATGGGGTAATTGTAGCTGGATGGTGAAGTCATGCTGTAGAGTTGGAGGGGCAGGGTAGCAAGAAGCTCAGTCTTTGCCAGGTTGAGCTGGAGGTGATGTTCTTTCATCCATGCCGAGATGTCCACCAGGCAGCCTGAGATCGATGCAGCTACTGTTGGATCATCTGGTTGAAATGAAAGAGCTGTGTGTCATCAGCATAGCAATGGTAGGAGAAACCATGTGCCTGTATGATGGGTCCCAGTGATGTAGTGTAAATAGTGAAAAGGAGGGGTCCAAGAACTGATCCCTGAGGTACCCCAGTGACTAGTTGATGTGCTTTGGATAGCTCCCCTCCCCAGGCCACCGTGAAAGACCTACCTGCAGGACAGGATTCAACCCAGCGAAGTGGAATCCCTGTGATGCCCAGTGATGAGAGGGTGGACAGGAGGATCTGATGATTCACAGCGTCAAAAGCGGCAGATAGATCCAGCAGGATAAGAACTGAAGCTTTCAAAATCTGCAAGGCTTCAGTGACTGATAGTAGTGCAGTCTCAGTTCAGGGTAGCAAGAAGCTCAGTCTTTGCCAGGTTGAGCTGGAGGTGATGTTCTTTCATCCATGCCGAGATGTCCACCAGGCAGCCTGAGATCGATGCAGCTACTGTTGGATCATCTGGTTGAAATGAAAGAGCTGTGTGTCATCAGCATAGCAATGGTAGGAGAAACCATGTGCCTGTATGATGGGTCCCAGTGATGTAGTGTAAATAGTGAAAAGGAGGGGTCCAAGAACTGATCCCTGAGGTACCCCAGTGACTAGTTGATGTGCTTTGGATAGCTCCCCTCCCCAGGCCACCGTGAAAGACCTACCTGCAGGACAGGATTCAACCCAGCGAAGTGGAATCCCTGTGATGCCCAGTGATGAGAGGGTGGACAGGAGGATCTGATGATTCAAAAGCGGCAGATAGATCCATCAGGATAAGAACTGATGGTTTGAAATCAGCTTTCAAAATCTGCAAGGCTTCAGTGACTGACAGTAGTGCAGTCTCAGTTGAATGGCCACTCCTGAAACCTGACTGGTTAGCGTCCACTTGGTTATTAGAAATGTAAATAACCAAAAAATAAATAAATGTATTTTTATTTTAGAAAATCAATTTATTAAATAAAAATTAATAAATAAAAATGTGAGTTGTAAAAAAGGAAACAAATCTAATCAATTCCCTTATTAATGAAAATGATTAATACAAATTAATATTTATTCATTTAGATTTATTTAATGCATTCATTTTTATATGTATGAATACAACAACATAGTGGGGGGAAGAAAAATCATCTGAGAAACAAGTACAACAAAATTTGGCATGAATTGATGGCAAGCCCAAACTTGAAAACTTAAACTTAAAAAAAAAAAAAAGATAATTCTCACAAAATGAGCCGTTTTTGTAGCACGTTATAATTTCCATCCAGTGCCCCATATCAACTGTGTCAAACAGAAGAATATACGGTGTCTGTTGCAAATTTTACGTTTCTAATTTAAGGCAACCCTGCAGGAAGTGCCAGTGTCAGTGTTGATTTTAATAACTGGTGAAAGGTAATCTGTTAATGCTGGACAACTCTGAATATTTTGACAGCCGTTCTGCTCTCCTCTAAATGAATGTTGATAGATAAGATTAGAAATGTCCTGCGCTCCTCCATCTCCTCCTGTGACTGTAAAGGAAAATTTGAGGTTAGAAAGCTATGGATCTGGCTCATGGCGAGTTTTCAGGGCATGTCAGCACACGCTCGTGGCAGTTCCTAAATCTCACATCCAAATACCTGTCAGTCAGTGTTTCTACATCATGCCTGAGGGATTCTGGGATGGGCCGGTGTCAGTAAGCCATTCCGCGAGAGGGTGGACAGGAGGATCTGATGATTCACAGCGTCAAAAGCGGCAGATAGATCCAGCAGGATAAGAACTGAAGCTTTCAAAATCTGCAAGGCTTCAGTGACTGATAGTAGTGCAGTCTCAGTTGAATGGCCACTCCTGAAACCTGACTGGTTAGCGTCCACTTGGTTATTAGAAATGTAAATAACCAAAAAATAAATAAATGTATTTTTATTTTAGAAAATCAATTTATTAAATAAAAATTAATAAATAAAAATGTGAGTTGTAAAAAAGGAAACAAATCTAATCAATTCCCTTATTAATGAAAATGATTAATACAAATTAATATTTATTCATTTAGATTTATTTAATGCATTAATTTTTATATGTATGAATACAACAACATAGTGGGGGGAAGAAAAATCATCGGAGAAACAAGTACAACAAAATTTGGCATGAATTGATGGCAAGCCCAAACTTGAAAACTTAAACTTAAAAAAAAAAAAAAGATAATTCTCACAAAATGAGCCGTTTTTGTAGCACGTTATAATTTCCATCCAGTGCCCCATATCAACTGTGTCAAACAGAAGAATATACGGTGTCTGTTGCAAATTTTACGTTTCTAATTTAAGGCAACCCTGCAGGAAGTGCCAGTGTCAGTGTTGATTTTAATAACTGGTGAAAGGGAATCTGTTAATGCTGGACAACTCTGAATATTTTGACAGCCGTTCTGCTCTCCTCTAAATGAATGTTGATAGATAAGATTAGAAATGTCCTGCGCTCCTCCATCTCCTCCTGTGACTGTAAAGGAAAATTTGAGGTTAGAAAGCTATGGATCTGGCTCATGGCGAGTTTTCAGGGCATGTCAGCACACGCTCGTGGCAGTTCCTAAATCTCACATCCAAATACCTGTCAGTCAGTGTTTCTACATCATGCCTGAGGGATTCTGGGATGGGCCGGTGTCAGTAAGCCATTCCGCCACGCTCACGATGCAGGATTAGACAGGTTTTAGCAGGCTACTGACGAGCAGAAAATTTTGAATGGTTAAACTTTCTATCTGCACATTGTAT